TATGGAACTGTTCATTCGGTTGAGGTATGTGAGATTTGAGATGGGTCTGTTTGGTTTTGGGATTTTTTTTATGCCCATGATTTGTTTTCCAAAATGCTTAACTTTATATCAACTTAGACAAAATTAGCGACTTGAACCCAAATATAGCTACTTATACATCAAATTAGCAAGTTAGACCTAAATATAGCTACAGGAATGCAGTTTTTGAGATGGGTTTATTCGGTATGAGGGATTTTGGATGCCCATGAATTGTTTGACAGAATGCTTGAGTGGGTGTTGTAGTTTTGGTTTTATGTTGACTCTTGGTTCAATGCATCTATGATGGCATAGTAGAAAGTGTTTTCAGTTATTGTTTATACTGCTCTGTAGTTGAAGTTATTTATACATTAGCTCAAATATTGCTTCATGAACTTTGCAAAGTGAAATAGAATTCTTGTTTCGGATGACACAAGCGATACAAGCCTGTGTTACGTTTGATCATTAATAGATTCTATGGTACTTCATAATCAGCTATATGCGTCGAGTTTGTCCTGGATTGGCTATAAAAAGAAAGGTTTCTAGGTTCTTATGCGGGACTCTAGTATGTAACATAGAAAGGAAACAAGAACTACTCTATTGCTGACATTTGTTATAACTAGCTTCCATGAGTATTGGCATCTGAGAGCTGATAATAAGAATAGTAGAATAATAAACCTGCAAACTGCAATCACGTCTCCTGCATTCATTTTGAAGTTATTTGGAATGTACAAATTTTCACATGAGAGAAAATGTTGGAATTGAATTGTCCTGTTTTCCGTCAGAGACAACGCGTCCTCTGTATGTTGGGTATTTCGACGGAGTGGGTCAGGAGCCAGGAATGTGGAGGAGGAATGGGAGGAAGCAGAAGCCGAGGATTTGGTTCCAAGAACAGAGGAGGACTGAGGGACTAGAGGAAATTTGGTTGGTGGTGGAAACGATACATCTCGGTTCCAAAATAAGGTAAACTTATATAAATGCCAGTTTTTTCCCGCTTCTAAGTAGTTACGCTACATTTTGAATGATGCTTCAAAAAAAAAAAAAGAATCAACTGCACGCAAAGAAGAAAAGCATTTGCAGTGTATAATTCTACTTGAGTTCCAGAGACAAAATAATATATATAGTTTTCGATTGGTTTATTACACTTCAAGAAAGAATGGAAGGTCTGAACTTGGCCTACTAAAAACCGCAGGGAGACGTGGGTCTCTCGACAACGCGCCTAATATCTCCTAAAACCTGGGAATATATACCGCTAGAATCAAGACTTGAACCCGCTGACGTCGGTATTGAAACTCTATGAGACTTGTTGCAGTTTGATTTCTAAGCATTAGGACTTTTACATTTATGAGTTCATGAATCTTATATTGCTTGGAGATTATGGTTATCTTTGGCATCCTGGAGTACCTGGCATACGCGTGAGCAGACTAATTATTGAATCACTTGCTTTATTAACGGTAATTATATGTATCATTGTTGTAGATGAATTATGTAAATTATATGTATCATTGTCGTAAATGAAATGTAATTATATGTCCTGGCGTACGTGTGAGCAGACTAATTATTGAGTCACTTGCTTTATTAACGTTAATTATATGTATCATTATCATAAATGAAATGTATAAATTATGTAACTATATGTTCTCTCATCTTATATGTATCATTATTGTAGATGAATCATCCATTTGTTCTTCAATGCACAAAGTAGATTCCTAACCAAGCGTGCAAAAAAAAAAACTACTGTAGCAAGCATCCTAGACGGAAATTCCGTCTAGGATGCTATTAAAAAAAAACATCAATTTCCGTCTAGGATGAGTATCCTAGACGGAAATTTCCGTCTAGGATACTCATTCTAGACGAAAATTTTTTCTGTCTAGGATGTATTATTCTAGACAGAAATTCCGTCTAGAATAATCCGTCTAGGATGTATTCTAGACGGTTTTGAATTCCGTCTAGAATATTTCGTATAGGATGTATTCTAGACGGAATTTCCGTGCAAAAAAAAAAAAAAAAACTGTAGCAAGCATCCTAGACGGAAATTCCATCTAGGATGCTTTTAAAAAAAAACATCAATTTCCGTCTAGGATGAGTATCCTAGACGGAAATTTCCGTCTAGGATACTCATTCTAGACGAAAATTTTTTCTGTCTAGGATGTATTATTCTAGACAGAAATTCCGTCTAGAATAATCCGTCTAGGATGTATTCTAGACGGTTTTGAATTCCGTCTAGAATATTTCGTATAGGATGTATTCTAGACGGAATTTCCGTCTAGAATATTACATCCTAGACGGAAACTTTCTAGACAGGTATTCTAGACGGAATTCCGTCTAGGATGCTCATCCTAGACGGAATTCTGTGTATCATAGACGGAATTTTTCGTCTAGGATGCCTCATTTTTTAGTAGTGGACTACTCTGTTCCGAGTTGGGTTAAAACACATAGTATAACAGTAGTTACATCACACAATCAAGTTTGTATTGTTATAATTTTATGGACCAAACTAGATCCGACTAAACCAGTCTAGACCCAACTAGGTCAAACTGAACCAGTTCAGACCAGACCAGTCCAGATTAATCAGTCTGAACCAGACTTGACTCAATTTTTGTTGTAACCAATCTTGAACCCAACCGAGCATAATTCAAGCCAAACTCTTGTCAACGCCTACTTGAAGCCTTTGCAACAAAAGTCTTGAGGTGCCTTTTTCAAGCAACACTCTCCCAATGCTGACCACTACTAGTTTCAATAACATTTTCAGGATTTAACACACTAGCAAGACTTATGCTTATATGCATGCTATGTGTAGTATTTTTATTGCTTGTTCATAGGATTTGAAGTTGATATTTAGCGATTTGCAATTTGAGATACATTGTATATATATGAGGGTTTTCTTGTCTGGATTATTCGCTTGACGTACTCATCTTGTGTTGTGGGTTTCTAAATCTTAACTCCTTTTAGTACAAGAGAGCATCTTTTTTAACTATAGGATCACCTGGAATCCATGAGTCCTTAAGTATATTATCTAGTAAAGTCTTAGTATTATAAGGACATCGTACTCAAATATGTGATATCCTAGATAATATTTACCACCTCCACGTGGGACATGTAAAAAGTGGATTCGAGGGTATGAAAATTTCTATAAACTCAATGATGTGCCATGATATACTTGCTACACTAAATGAATGCTATCTAGCTCCGTCAGTTTTCCAGTAAGTGGAGGGTTCACGTTTTATGGAATATTATGCCATAGGAACTCAGGTGCCTAAATAGGCAAGACTTGATAATGGAAATCACCTGAAATGTCATGATTAGATTAAAACCTGGTTTATACCTATAGTATTTATCTTGGTTGATACTGTGTTTGACATGCATGACTTTATGAAAAATTGTTGCTTGATCACCTAGTTGTCATTTAATAGGAGAGACTGTGCATGAAGACGACTCCTGTTAAAAATGTGATTTATAAGCGTGCTTTCATAGCATGGCTATGCCCTCAATATCGATATCCCGATATAAGGTTTTCCTTGGCTATTACTATTGTAGCATCGTTTAGACGATGCACCCATCTTGATTGGATATGTTCTTGGGTCACAATTATTTTTTATAGTTTTACGAAAATCGTTCCACGGTAACACTATGGTTAATGCACAACATTTCATGCACAGTCACTTAAATTAAACCGACAAATATGGGGTTTATAAAGGGGAATTGGAAGGAGAATATATAAGGTATATAAACGGGCTCATGCACATTCCTGATATCTTGAGTTATATATACAAGGGCCAATACTTGACTTGAAGCCGTGTTCCCGGGACGTGTTACGGGAAGGACCGATTTATATACTTGATACTACTCTCCTCTAATTCAAATAACATGTAAAATAAGAATAATGTACTTGTGTGTCTTGTGGTAGACTTTGTTTGATATCTACAATTAGCATTTTCCTTTATCAACTTTAATTGAGATTTCATCTTTCCTTTATACCTGTCACATACACTTACATTTCATGCAAAATTTCCTCATTTTACATGCTTGTTGGGAGTTTCCTGACTCCCCTGGGGTTTGCGTGCCCCAGACTTGGGGACCATCCTTTCTTAGCAGGACCGAGAATACTTTGAGGATCAGGCCCAGCGGCAGTGATCACCTTTTGTCCTATCACTCTCTCAGCTTCATTTTATTCAGGCAGTTATTTGGTTGTAACCACCTGTAATTCTCCAGACTATGATGTATTTTCCATTTTTTCACTTTGGATAGTTGTGGACTTGTCGTAGAACTTTGTCTTTTCAGAGATTTCTTTATCTATATATTTTCTTTGTTATCTTAGTTACATGCTCTATGTAGTAGTTCTTTTAGCAATATATTTGTATACAGAATGATCCAGAGGCGTGAATATGACCGTATGGTTGTATTGCCGACCGAGTCACGTCCCAAGTTTTTATGTTTTGGAACCGAGACGTGACACATATCCACTTATACATCAGCCTGTCTATCTACATCCGTGTCTAATTTTATCAGATATGGATATGAATTTTCATTATCGATGTATATCCGCATGAGTACGCATATCTGTGATGGGTGATGGGTAAACAGATATGGAGATGATAAGTATCACATCCAAACTATAGCCAGACCAAATGCACTCCTACATTTAACTCTCTTTAGTTCCTTCTGCACCTAATTTACGACATTCAAACAGAACTAGTGTCAATTATAATCTGTTTATACTCTTAATACTCCCTGCCTAAGTAGGTATACACTGATGAACTGTAACCACACCACAGATGTAAGATACACCAGTACCATCTTCAAATTAGCATTCAAACAAATATAGTCGTACACTGACGTATCAAATCTACTTGTACACCAATATTTTAGTATCGCATAGCAAATAAACATATTCAAATCCAATGCAATAAGTTTATGACAGGAATTATAAATGAAATCCAAATCCTCAGGCGGGTCTAAAACTAGCAACCAGACTAACCATCCACTTGAACAAGAAACTGAGAGTGTCATTCACATCTTTAAACTTCCCTTTTACACCTCTGCACAGACTATGTACTGAATACAAATGCCGCACAAATTGCACATGGTTACAAAATTCATCCCCTCGAATCTCTACAACATAATGCTCTACAGTGGGAGAGAAAACCATGCACTTGAATCTATACACCATGAATGATTATGTACAGTTATTCCCGTTATGTTTTATTAGAATGTTACATAAGAATGTATTTTCACAAAGGGAAGGTATACAAGAAATATACTGGCTATAGCACTATAAAGCATTCAGCTTCATCCACCTTGAAACCTCTTAGCAGATTCCAAACGCATCTGTGCACGCTTGATGCTTGGCTTATGCTGACTTAGCCCGTGCCAGGTCTCCCCTGGTCCCCCTTTCTCCACTTCAAGAACTCTCAGCTGTTCGTGGAGGGCTGCCACGTTGAGAAGAGGGACCGTAGTAGGACGTCCATGAGCACACTAACAGTAAAACACTCTTCATCAGTGAATACTGAAAATTTTTATATACTTTTTTGGGTTACTTGATATTAGCCCCTTAGATCTTTCATATTTTTGAAAACCCCTCAAATCATTAAAATTGATATCAGATCCCCCAATTCCTACAAGTCGTTTCAGAATTAGTCCCTCAAATCTTTAAACTTGGTATTGAGTCCCCGCAATTCTTATAAAATGTGTCAACCCTCTAATTGCTACTTCTACTCTCGATTGGAAGGACTAGCTTCAAAATAACTTAAGAATTGGAGCATCTAATAGCGATTCCAATGATCCGAGGGACTAATTTTAAATTTACTTGGGAACTGGGGACCTAGGAGCAACTTCAATGAGTTGAAGGGCTAACATCAAAATATGAAAGGTTTAAGGGACTAATATCGGAAATAACCCTATTTTTACCCTTTTTGCAGATGATAGCACGCTACAAACTTACCTGGAAACATAACGATGTCGCCTTAAGCTCTTCAAGAATGAGAGAGCACTCTGAAGGCAACAGAGAATCACCAAACATGATAGCACCTTCACATGAGAGAAAAGTGTATATTTTGGTAAGCTACTCGCCATAGGAACGTTAAGGATCAATTTGTAACTAAACTAACCTCTGCAGGCTTTGAAATTAAGAATACGGACCACAGCAGGAGGTATGGTTGATGATCCATCTGTCTCAACAAGCTGGAAATAGTAAAAGCAACCAAATTACATGTGACATGTGCAGAAAAAGGAAACATTGCACTGAAGCCAAAATCCAAGCATAAATTAGTTTAGATTTTTTGAGAAGATCGCAAGGAATACAGGTTGTTTTCTTTGTTCTAATCATCTCCTTTTACATCTAATCAGAGATAGGTATTCAAAATTTCATTTGATTAATGAAAGTTACTCCATCACTACTACATATGCTAGATGAATAAATTACATGTCCATAATATTAGAGCTTGTGCTATCTCAAAAAAAAAAACACAAATTCTACAATCTCTAACCCAATTACTTAGCCAAGTTATCCAACAGATATACTGTATTTAGGATGTATCTGTGGCATATGGCCTCATTACGCATACATGAATCAAGCTCTAGGGGATGATCATCTATCTTTATGTTGCCTAGATTTTCTAAGGCCTCAATGTCGAGGCATGCTAACAACCTATACGCTTAAGATTCTTGCAGATCATTGAAACTGAATTACTTATGACAAATACTAACCCAATGGACAATTCTGAAAAAACCATGAGAAACAACAGGATACCCACTAGATTACAGATGAACGTTTAACATAATTAAGAATGTTTATCAGACAAATTGCTTCTGTAGCATTAGGTAAATTATATTTACCATTATTTTTATTTTATTAAAAAATATGTGTGGCATTGCGAAAAATTACTTATTAATATAACAATGATTAGTAGTAAATTTTAAAGAGAATAATACCATTAGCAATGAAAAATAAGAACAACAATAGATATATGGTAAAATTTCATAAAACTATCTGTTAACAACATAAGTTGTAATTACAATAGCAGAAAACAATATTAGTCAGATTATAATTTTTTAATAAACTGTGTTCTAATTCCACCTTTGCAATAAACACATAAAGTTGTTTCCCCCCTTCTTTGATAAAATTTCACAAAACTACCATGAATTTATTACGGTTTCTGTAGGAAACTACCATGAACTATTTTTATTAGAGAAACTGCCATAAACATTGAGATCAACAGAAAATCCCTACAGTGTTAAGCCATTAATGATGTAGGTAAAAAGAATAAAATACATTACGCTGTTAAGGGTGAGGATGATAGAGCAGTAACTAAATGAAAACGATCTTGTCCAAAAAAGTTTGAGATAGTTTTCTCTCATAAAAAAGTATAAAGTAGTTTCCTGCAAAACCGTTAAGTTAATACACTTTTATGAAATTTATCCTATTTCCTGCAATTTATAGGTATTCTATGATCTTCAAATACTAAAGGTTATTTTTTATATAGCTTCTCTAATTCAATATCTTCTAAAATGAACTCTCATAATGTATTGTTTATCTATTTAAGGAAAAAGAATAAATTATATACTTTATAATACCAACCCTATGTATTAAAGCATAGGAATCATGCTGATTTCTATCATTTATTCCCGGGGGAAACTGCACCAGTGTCCTGTAATAAGTTGCTCTACCAACCAATTCATGGGTTTATCTTAAGAGTTATAGTTGGTACAATGGTTAACTAGTAAACGATGCGAACATAACTTATGCAATATATAACACAGTTGAAGAGGTTGGTTCAGATCACCAACATAGAAGACAGTAGCTTATAAATTCTCAATTGCCGTAAAACTAAAGATGGAGAAAGATAAACTGAAAAAAAAAATAGTCTGGTTCACCCACAAAAGCGAACTAGCTAGTTACCTGCTCAATAAATTCTATAAGATCTTTTTCATTCAAATTGATACCCAAAATGCATGGAACCTGCATGATAATTCACATGCTGTAAGTACCATAGTATTAGAAAAAGAGAATAATCGATTAATGAGAAAAGTGGTTTTCATCGTGCTTCCAAGAGAAAGATTCAAGTTTTACTTTCTATAAAAATGACCAATTGAATTAAGTTCCATCTTAGCATTTGGGACCTAGGCCAGCTGCATTACTATCTTCACACCCCTTGCTCAGATGTAAACTATGTGAAAATTGGATACAGTATATTTTGATGAATGCGCGTAAAAGAAAATCATCCTAGCATTTGGAAGCAGGGAAACAGCATTACTAACTCCACATTCCTTGCTCAAAAGTAAACTGCTCAAACATTAAAATCAGGAGATTTGATGAATATGGGTAGACAAGGATCATTGACTTTTTCTCCTTTGAATCTCTTTTATAACAGTAGACTGGTGTTTCTTTTACAGAAAGAACCACATCAAAACATATAATTTGCATAATACTTACCCTACATTATTCATGCCCAACTAACTTGCTACAAACTGTGTCCAATACTTCCCAGTAGCTTGGTAAGAAATTCTGTTGACTGGCGAGATGGATTTTATGCCTGCCTTGGTTCAACAATATTCCTCTAAACTACTTTTTCTCGAGCGAGACGACAATCAACATCAATGTAGTTTCTCACACAACATAGGATTGTTACAATACAGATAGTTATATGATTACCACGATATAGCCTCATCTAAGAAAAAACACAACCATATTTACTGAATAGCTGCTATATCCAGAAATATCACAGGGTGATATTTGCCACACCACATACTCAAACTCTGCACTTGATCTAGAGTTTATCCTAGACACTTTTGTTTCTTACTCCTCCAAGAAACATGATTCTCTCTAATAAGTAATAACTAAACAATATAATGCAATGGATCTCCAGTTAACTGATGATCCTTCCCAATCTGTACCAGAGAAGCCAAATATGTGATGTCCTGTGTCAAAAATCCTTAAAAATTTTGTAGCAGGGGAATATGTCTTTTGACAATCAACAACATGGATTTGTGAATAACCTTTGCTTACCAATCAGGTTTTCAGCTGATCCAAAGAGAAACTAGGATGCAGCCCAATAGAACGCGACAAACTACCACAACATTGCAATATGAAAGAGGTAATAGTCTGACATTTCATATCATGCTTATTATTCTCTTGCATGGATACACACAAATCTAGAAGTATTAACCTGAAAAGGGCAAGAGTCATTGATGTAAACAAAGATATCACAGGATTTAGTCAACATATTGGGTTCTGTAATCAAGACGATCACAATGATTGAAACCAATGCACAAGCCCCATCTCCACCCTGCCCCCAGCCCCAGCAAAAATAAAATAGAATAAAGTAAATAATGCACGCATAAAAATACTTCTTGAAGTCCCTTACTCTGCATCACAATTATGAAGTTGGGATGCAGATTTGAGGGTTATAATTCCGCCATAAGTAGAGCGTCCTTTATTGAGCCAACCTGGTTTATTTTATACACTGTCATATTTTTCTATAAATACACATTAAATGTATACTTAATGGTATTTGAACCTGGGCACTCTAATATAATTTTAGAAACCCCTTCCATTAAACCAAATTTCTGAAGCTGCGGTAAGGGTTCAGAGTTAAAATTTATACTCATGACTGAGACTACTTTTTGATAGATGATATACTTCAACTATAACTTGTCAACAAATATATGATAACCTTTTACAATACTTCCATACATTGTACCATGGAGGTAACAGAATGCTGACTATCTCAGAAGAACAGTAAAATGTGTACTATACAAAATGAAATAGAAGAGACTTACAGCAACGAGAGTGATGTTACATTTACGCCTTTTGAGAATGTTTACATTCCTGGTACAAGTCAGTACAAGTCAAGTGGTCATACACATGTGAAAATAATTATAATGCACATAAATTAAACAATTTTAATTAAAAAGAATACAAAAGCTAGATAAAGAGCAAGTAATACGTTTTATGAATTAGTAAAAAGCATCTGATTTCAAGAGCAATTATTCTGTGAGGGAGAACATTGAAAGGTCACACAATCAATATAAGTGCCTTAGGGAGAACATTGAAAGGTCACACGATCAATATAAGTGCCTTAGGGATTCTTAGAAATTGCTTGTAGACAAAATGGTCCATTCACATTCTTCAGAAAGTGCAAAAACTACTTTTGAAATATTTAGAAACTGACCCAAAGTTCAGCTGTTGGGAGATATGAAAGTTCAAGATTCTGACTTTCTATGTCAAGAACCGTGACTTACTTCTACACCTATTATGAGGGGTCGGTTCTTAGTCTGGTGCAAAGCACACCCAAAAAGAGTGACACACAGTCAGATGGCACAGGGTAAATACACATTACTCAACTAGACATAATCTTTAATTAAAGTTGTCTGGGGAAAAAATGAATCATATATCATTAAATTATTCCTAAGAGAAACTAGATCATAACTCACATTGTGAAGAAAGTTAGCATAATCCTATGAACCTATTTATAAATTAGAAATTTATTGACTTATGATGTTTATAGAGTGAGAAAATGCTAGCATAATACACATAAGAGTGAGAAAATGTGAATTGCAGGGAGAGAAGAAAGCTTGATTAGTCTTCTCCCCTTTGAGTCTTACTTGAAGAAGAGAAATTACACGTGTTCACAAACCATTGACCCATTAATCAAGGCATGACCATATTTAGCATAATACATTATAGCTGCTAGACAACCATGCAATATAATCTATCTAGACACATGAAAACTCATGAAGGTTACATCCCCCTACATTACTTTCTAATTTCTCTACAAATGCAATAATAAGCATGCATGGAACAAATATTTAAGTTGCAGGACAGTACTTTGTGAATGAATCTAAACATTGATTATGGATGTTGCAGATCCAGCCCCAATTCCTAATCTGGTCTGTATACTTCTGCAACAGCTGATATCCCATCTCTGGAAGAACCTGATGTTGTAAACAAGAATTAGAACATCATATGAGATAGATAATTTTGGCAAAAATTTTGAAAAAAAGTAGTGCAATTAGTATGGAACATTGACGTACCAACTCTTGCTCTGAATCTAGATAGATAACACTATTTCCTTCACCAGACAGTACCTACAATTTCCAGTAGAAAGCATAAAACAGAGAACTCATATTTACTTTTAGACATACAAGTCTCGTGTTAAATAAAGCAAACATTTTCAGGAAGATGCTAACCTTTCGACGTAGATCCTCCAAACGAATTCGTTCATCCGCAGCATGCTGTAAAATGAACAATCAACCACAGTATATCAATAGTACAATCAATTGTGAAATATTCAAAAAAAAAAATCATGAAAAAAATTAAGAAGGTAGGTGGACCACTAAATTGGTACTATGGTTTACCTTCTTGTATAAATGAAGAAAGAAAACAAAGTTTCCCACAGTACACTGCTCCCATCTTTGAGGGGCAAGTATTCGACGAAGAGTGGTCTTAAAAGATATTTGCTAGTTATCATAACATAAATCATTTGAAAAGAAATAGTTGGATAACCTTGGTTTCTCGAAAAAAATGGTAATACTAGGGATTTAGCAGTTCTTTTGTTTACGTACAATTTCAAAATAAAATCTCAAACGAAATCTTCATAACCTCATTATTCCAATCACTGATATATCAACATTACATTGTGCCTGTAAATAAGAGTTACAAAATAAAATAAATACCAAAAGGTTTGATTAAAACGAGGCAAGAAGCAAAAAAAATCTGATCAACAATGGCGAGTAATTTTCTCCTGCCATCATACAAATAAAGTTTGTATCCAGCTAAAGAGTGGTTAAAACTAGGGGATTTAGGAATTTACTTTATATGTATACAATTTCAAGATAAAATCACAAAATCTTTATAACCTCTTTATTCCAACTCATTGGTACCTCAATTTTATTGTGACTGGAATAAGAAAAAGAAAACCCAAAAAGTCAGAAGAAAGCAGATATGTAAACCTGATCAACAATGACAAGTATTTGTCCTGCCATTACGGGGATAAATTTTTTATCCAGCTGTTGGAGCACCCTTGCATTCTGAAGGCACTCCTTATTGATGGAATCAGGTATTAATGAGCTAGCAGAGAGATGCAAAATCCCTGAAGAAATGCTAAGCACGTTGTCCTTGCTTGTATGAGATACATCTCTGTCCTGAAGACGGTGAAAAACCGAATCAGCTAACCAGATCATATAAAGTGAAATATTGCATCCATGATGTGTGGACAACTTCAAATTCCTGACGAACTTAACTGTAGACTGTGGAATACCAGTCCGCCATTTTGTCGGAATAGCCAACGCATATTCCAGTTTAGCAATAGAACCTACAGAATAGATTGTATAACTCTGATTCTAAGCAAGTTCATAACATCAAATAATTTATTACTTTCGACTTACCTTCGACTTCACTAACTTTTCCATCATTCTTAGTCTCATCCATTTGAAGACTGCTCACCTTTTCACCAGTGTGTTTTCTGACTCAACCAACAAGAATATGCAGGTAAAGATCAAGTTGATATACCTAATGCTGAATATGTTGGTTCTTATTTCCCGGTCACAATATAATGTTAATATACAAATGACTAGAATAATGAGGTCATAAAGATTTCATTTGAGATTTTATTTTGAAATTATACATAAAAGAAAAGAACTGATAAACCCCCTGGTATTACCATTCTCTTGGAGAACCCACGGTTATCAACTATTTCCTTCTAAATGAGTTGTTCATGTTATGACATATGACAACCTGCAAATATCTTTAAAGATGACTCTTTGTATTAAACTTGCGAGCAGTATACAGTGGGAAACTTTGTTTTCTTTCTTCATTTATAAAAGAAGAAGTTAAACATAATACTCATTTAGTAGGTCTACCTACCTTGACAATGTCTGAAAAATCTCATTAACATTTGGCTTGAAACATGGCTGTGATGAAGACGGAGGTTGTGACAGATAATTTACTGGAGAAATAGTTTCTGTAAAACAAATGCAGCAGCAGCTATAAACGAAAGACTTAAATATTTTACAAAATAAAAGTTATTTTAGGACCACGAACACACCTCGTTTGACATTAGAAACATCAGGAACATGAGAAGTAGAACCTTTTTCTGCGGTCGTTGTCAAATGATCATTTATGGTGGAGAATCTACGCTTTCCCTCGTAAAATGGTGGAGCTGAACAACTTCTTTTTGACCTTACTTTGTAGACTTCGGATAATCGAGAATTTTGAAGATCCAATTCATCCCGAAAGCTCTGATATCCCTCGTCTTGAATTTGCATAGAAGATTGATGCTTGCTGTAAATTTCAGCATTGGTCATATTAGAAGATTCAGAAGGTGACCAGCCAGTTTCATTGTTGAACAATGAAAATGGGCTAACTTTCCCAAAGGCATTTTGATTGGACAGTGATGGATACTGCATATTACTTATGGGACTGAAGTCAAACCGGAAATCCAACTCAGTTTTAGTATATTTCGCAGGAAAAACATCATCAGAACTATCCTGAAGAAAGTTTAGGATTTCAACATTCTCTATGCTGCCAGAATACCCAGAACTAGTACGTGTGAAAGATGGCAAACATCCTCTCGAGTCACATATCTGCGCATCTGACTTAAGCTTTTTCGCAGACAACTGTGGTTCATCAAGACACCAGTCTAACTGCAGAAATCCACTTTTGGGGTCATCCACCAAAAAATCTGAAACCAAAGCATCATCCAACTTATCCTTTTTGTAAAAAGGTGCTTCACCACATGAAAATGAGTCCATCCTACCATTTGACGGTATTTCTAAGTCATAGTTCTCCTGGCATTTCCCAATGACACTGGTTGAGGGTCTGCAGGTGCTATCCTTTTCCAGGACTTGGGTATGCCATACTGAAAAACCATTGTCTGCTTCTGCATTGTCAGCTATGTCATAAAATGGAGAAAACTTAACTAAACTATCGAACCCAACATCCAAGCTGCGTTGATTTGTGTAAGATTTTGAATGCGTCATCTTATATCCCGGTGAATGAGACCTTTCATTTTCAGCAAAGCAGGACTCTGGAAATCGAATGTTCTCAACATTATCTATAATGTCAAAAGGATGAAAATTCAATGAAATATCAACAGTTCTCTTTTGCACGCTTCCGGAATCTTCAGAAACATCAGGAATATTGTTCCTCCTTTCTCTGTCAGACATGCCATATCTGTCTCCAAAACTAGAAGCCTGATCAGAGATGATATTATCCTTCAACAGACAAGAACTAACACCAGCAAAGCACTGCTTGTCGCTATTTGCATAACCCAATTGAGCATGTGGATAGCCAAAATTAGCCAGTGAATCGTTAAATCTGAGTTGGGAAGAACAACCGGCATGAACCAGATAACCAGCATTTCTCTGGCATGGCTTAAGCCACGAGGACCTGCGCATCTCTTCTGCTGGCAACTCTTTCTTATGACAAGTACCAATATTTTCTAAAGAAATATCTAATGGACAGGTAACTGAACTATTAGATGGTATGTTCTGATGTAGCTTGATATCACATTCTGCATCTTTCATCTTTGAACTCTTGGACAAGCCTGTAAGTAACATGTCTAACATAAAGCCAACAATTATGAATTAGCTCTACTAAAGAATGTACTATATATTTAAAAACAACTTGTTAGGGGGAAAAAACAAAAAGGTGTAGAGGGGTAAATTTTACTAGTATCCCACATAGATTAGAAGATCTTTTACATAAAAATGAAACAATATCATGTGATACTACCATATTATATCAAATTATCAATAGTACCTTCCTCCCAGATTGCATTTATTATAGACACATCATTATCATCATGAGAACGATTAATTCATGCAAAGTAACATATTTAAAGAACTTTTAAGAGGATCCCATCCGTAAAAGAGATTCACATGGCATCTTAAAGCATTTAAGAGGTTCACCTTGCAGTGGTTTTTCAGATGCTTGCTTCCAGAACTGCTTCATAGCTTGCTCAAAGAAAGCGAAGACAGTACTCCAATCCTGGTAAGATAAAAGCAGTTAGGGATCGAAACAAAAGAACAAATTTCTGAACAAGATAAAGCACATATCACAAATTACAAAATCAATGAAGAATAAGTTGGCAACACCAAACAATGAGAACAACATTGTCATGTGACCATCATCCAAACGTATGAACTTGCGAACACGTAGAGATGCAGAAGAATGTATGAAAGTGGATGGATTTGGTGAAAGAAGCATTTCAAACACAAAGGAGAAACTGAAATTTAGATTATTGTGTACAGTTATTAAAAAATAGAATTGTAACAAGAGCAACTTCAGTCAGATCAGTGCAAACAACCTATTGTTTTCCAAGCTAACAATGAGAGAGAAACTCCTAAACCTTTGCATTTTACCACTCCTTCAACTTTACAACATAAAGAAAATCTCCAAGAAAATTGCTACAAGTTTATTTTGAAATTCTTGTTTAATCAAAACTAGAAGCCTTCAATTTTTATCATTTTGGATTAAAACCTATAAATTAAAATCATGTTAGTAGTCACAAATCGTACAACAGTATCAATCAAAACCTTGACAGAAGAAACTGGTTTGGTAGAGGTAGCCAGTAGTAATCTGAAAGTACAGAAAATATTGGATATCTTTGAACTCAGAGAAAAAACCAGCAGTCTTAAGACATGGAGAAAGATAGTAAAATCTCTGACATAGAGATATGCCGTAGGTTCTCCAACATGGAAACATGCAGTAGAATCTAAGACGTGTCAACAGATGGTAGAATATTCAACACGGAGAAAGACAGTAGGATCTATGATATGGACAAAGATAGTAGATATCCCACGTGGAGAAAAATAGTAGAATCTATGATATGCAGACAGATAGTAGTATAATATCCAATGGGGCGAAATACAGTGGGACCTTCAGTATTGAGACATATAGTAGTATCTTTGACACCAAGAGGGAACTTGTCAAAAATCAGTGCTAGACAATGATGGGGGATAGGGGTGGAAAACGACTGAATCGAAGCGGACATCAGCATATTTGAATTCGAGTGAATTTTAGATACTCGAATACGAATTCGAATTCGGGTCGAATATCACCATGATATCTAAATTTGGTTTGTCTATATATGATATATTAGATAAATACTCATTGAATTTTTTTAGCCCACTTGGTTAGGGGTTTTAGCTTCAAAATAACAGGTCGTTGGATCAACCCTGGACTTGCCCTTTTTTTTTTTTTTGCCTTCCGTTATTCTTTAGAGATAGTTGCTGTACACCCTCCAAATTGTATATACTTGTAAATATGCCCTCCAACGCGTCATACTTGTTGATCTCCCCTCTAAATTGCCTTTTCCATTCAAGTTTATGCCTCAATTAGACTAATTAAAATTTTCAAAAATAACTAATATATCATTTAATAAATATAAAATATATATGTATACTTAATAATCAAGCGAATCGACTATATATTTGGTTAAATTTTATTTGTTTATGAATCGAATATTAAAAAGTACTCGTTTACTATTAAATGAGGTGTCAATTCGAATACGACCAAATAGCTAGGCGAGTAATAACCGAACTATTTATTAATTATTTGGTTCTCTTCCAACCTAATGGGGGAGTCAAGTAGGCTGAAGAAAAAACCAGAGTCAGATAAAACGATGTTGGAGGCAAGATTAGAGAAAGTAGCTAAACAAGATTCTCCAACAGGAAGAACCCATGACAGCATCCAAGCTTAAAGTCGGGCACCTAAATAGGAATCAAATAGTAATTCATCATCAAATCATTTGGCGCCTCACTATGGGTTTGGATGAAGCTGTTAGTAGAGTCGCAGGTGTATGAATTGACATATCGGAAGCTAAAGTGAAACCAAAGACTAGTCTAGTTGCTTCTTTTGGCTATGGTGTTAGTTCGAAAGACTAGTCTAGTTGCTTCTTTTGGCTATGGCGTTAGTTCAAAAAGGCCTTGGAGCAAGAGGAGAAAAGGTCAGCTATAGCGATGTTGGGGACAGAGGTGATAAGCCTGAGAAGATGTATGAGGTCCTCAAGAGGCAAGTCAAGGAGTTCTATTTCGGCACGGTTGCATGAAGGCTGTAAAGAACTTTTTCAGGATCAGGAGGTAGCAGTAGCCTCCTGGCTGATATGGAGAGACGAAAATGACAAAATCGCTGGCAGAAAAGCACAGAGACATTGAGATTCGCCCTTTGTGGCCTCAAGGTTAGAAAAGAAAAAGAGCTCTCATATTTGGTATTGAGAACTGCATCCATCTTAAGTTCCACTTTCTATTTCTCTTGCTCGTCCTTCTCTGGCCCCAGTTCCCGACCTTTTTAACTCTATTCTCTTCCTTAGCAGCAACTTTTGTTTAAACGACCAGAAGCAGGGTGAGTCACAACGATGCTTTTCCATTTCAAGGGAATTTTGCAATTCAGGTTTAAGGCCAAATCTTCCTTTGAATGTGTTAGATAGCATTGATAATTTGGTACTAGTAGATTTAGTAGATATTATGAGATATTGTGAGGAATGATTAGATATGATTTTATCTCATATCTATTTTGTAATATACTCTTAATCCCTATTTAAGAGAGTTTATGGTTAGATGAATAATAAACTTTGCCTTCTCTCATTCTCTACATAGTTATACACACACACATGCATACATACATACATATATATGTAGCCATGTAGGTATGTGTGTGTGTGTACATACATATATATGTAGGTATGTGCACACACACACACACACATCACAACACAACACACACACACAAAATATATATATATATATATATATATATATATATATATATATAATATATATATATATATATATATATAATATATATATATATATATATATATATATATATATATATATATATATATATATATATATATATATATATGTGTGTGTGTGTGTATGTGTGTATACATATATATGTATATAAATATATATGTGTGTGTGAGTGTTGAGTACACACACACACACACATCTACATATATATACACATATATATGTATATATGCGTATACACATATGTATATATATATATGTATACATACACACACATATACATATATATATATGCGTGTGTGTGTATACATATACATACATGCTCCACTCGACGGCTGTGATAGCATTGACTGCTTCAACAACTTCTGTATCATTGTTTTCTAGATCTTATCAAATATTCTCCACAAAATAACCTAAATTTTAGAAAAGTTGGCATCAAATATTCTCCACAAAACAACCTAAATTTTTTTTTAAAAAAATATTCACTCTTCAGCATAGTTGGTAGTTATAAGCAACGACAGCGGTTCTCTTTCGATGTTGTTTCTACTGCCTTACCCCCCTAGGTTTCTAGTGGCGTACCCACCTAGAATTTCTACTAGTTGACTTGGCTTTCTTCTATTGGCTTACCCGCCTAGGGTTTCTACTACTTGTGACTACAATATTCTGATTGTTGACGTCTTCAAATATTCCAGACAAAGATGACATTACAATTAGTTGTTTTGTTCCCATTTGTCACAAGTTGGGCATATATAGTACATATGTTCCTGCTTAAAGGGGGGTGTTAAATATTATTGATGATTTGGTACTGGTAGATTTAGTAGATATTATGAGACGTGATTAGATATGATTTTATCCTGTGTTATCAATGCGGGGCACAGTCTCTTTACGTGTACATGCGCAAGGCGCAATGCTATGTGCGCGTCCGAGTGAAGCAAGATGCACACCAGACGCAAAATTTTCAAGATGGTTATCAAGCACAAAAGAGCATGTTTATATATCTTCACATGAAGTATGTCAAGTTAAACAATATATACTATGAGATCACAAAATAAGGCCTTAATTTCTTATGCTAACACTTCAAACATAGAGCGAAGTTCATAAATTTTTAAATCAAGAGTCAAATCAAGAGTAATATTGAAGCAAACTTATGATCCTCAATTAGGTTACTAGAAAGGCCTAACAGTTTTATTTTGCTTTCTGGGTATGAGTCATCGGGTATAAAGATCCGGTTGAAATGTTAAAAAGCAAAACTATATGTGGCTATGCCTAGCATGTACCCTACATGAAGCATGCGGCTTACGAGGTGCAAAAGGCGTTGCTGATCAGATGCAGGACGCTTCGCTATTGCCCTGCATTGCAGGGCGCATGAGGCGTAGTGATGCGTGCGCCTTTGAAAACACTGATATTCTCATATCTATTTTATAATACCCTCCTTATCTCTATTTAAGAGAGATTATTTTTGTTAGATTAATAATAAATTTTACCTTCTCTAATTCTCTACATGGTTTTAAATTAGGATAAATTTTCAAAACAGTCCCATTTACAAAAAAATATTCTCAAAAAACGACCCGTTTCAACAATATTCGTCAAAATCGACATAGTTTCAGCCGTCGGGCTAAAACTAGGTCGGTTTTGACGAAAAAATATAAAACTTCACGAGACTTGAAGTCTCGTGAAGTTTAGCAGCCATTTAACTAAGCTGTTAAACTTTACAGGACTTTAAGTCCCATGAAGTTTAGCACATTAGTTAAATGGCTGCTAAACTTTACGGGACTTCAAGTCCCGTGAAGTTTGGGAACTTCTTTTGTCAAAACCGATCCAGTTTCAGCGCGATGGCTGAAACTAGGTCGGTTTGACAAATATTATTGAAACATGTCGTTTTTTAGAAATATTTTTAAAAAAGGGTCAGTTTTGAAAATTTGTCCTTTAAATTAAACCTCTCTATCCATTAGACCAAAACCCTAAAATTATAATGATGATTGAGAATTATAGTTTTATATTGATTCTAACATATGCCCCCGCAGGTCGGGCTTCTTTTTTTATGGGTCGAAACCTTAGTTTAAATTTGTGGCCAGGGATTTGAACCTAGATTGCTCTGATATCATTTTAAATTAAGTTTCTCTAACCATTACACAAAAACTCCAAAGTTATAGTGAGACTTGAGGATTATAGTTTTATATCAATTCTAACAGAATGGATTAGACTGAATGACCTGCATAGGGACAAACTGCCTGCTATAGCATCTGTTTCTTCATAGTGCCTACCATAGAAAATGGGACTAGAGCCTTTACCTTTTCACTTTACCCACTATGGTAACTGTCAAAATGCCTTATTGCCTTCAACTGTACATACTTCGATGGTATTTATTACAATACTAATGCCTCATTATTGGAGGGAGAAAAACCTAATCTAATAATAAATAGGTCACCTTTTGCTTCTTTGTTTTTACTTCACTTCATCAATTAGGCCAAAATACGACAAATCTATCACATTGAGCTAACAGTCTAAAACATACATTATTAGACCTTAAGCATGTGCACTATCAAAGTCTTGTCTCTCTCTAGATGTCATTTATGAAATAACACCCACCACCGACCAACTGAATCTGCAATTGTGAAGAGTTTGTTTTATGCCGCTTGAACTCTGCGGGATTGTACCCTAAGTAAATAGTTAACTAAACAAAAAAAGAACGGAGAAGTACATTTAATTTAAATCACAAAGTTTGAGGGGTACTGTGTAAAAACACTAATCCTCTTCCTGTTCATCACCGTCTCACCACTTTGGTGGTTTGCACCGCCTCAACGGTAGGATAAGAAGAGGAGAAAAGGAGAAAATAAGAGGGGGAAAAACCAAGTGAAGAGAGGGAAGAATAACTTACTTGGAGTATAGAATTTGGTAGAGGAGGAGAAACTTTCATCCAAATGTATAACCTAACTTCTTAATTCTTTCAGTTTATAGAAATTAAGAAATTCTGGGTTGATAAAAATAAATAAATACATACCTAACTCGGAGGAGGATCTCGTCGTCGACCCCTAATCGCCGATGAGCCCTCACCATCGAGAGGCAGGTGGCGCGGCCTGCGCCTGAAAAGCCGCAGAAAAAACAGAAAAAAAGAGGAACCGGAGGAAGAAGAAGGGGATAGAGAAGAGAGAGAAAAAACTAAATTAGAGTAATCAAATTTCTTTGGGACCCCTAAAAATTTATGAGTTTGTATATAGGTCCAGAAGATAAAAGGAATAAAAATATTCATGTAGACTCCTATTGCTCTGTTAGTTTCAACCAGACTCAAAAGAATAAAAGGAATGAAAATATTCATGCGGTCAACGTGGACGCCGCCGCAAGCGAAGGAGGCGGAGGGTGAGGCGGACGGCTCGTCAG